AAAAGAGAAAGTAAAAGCTTTACAAGTCTCTCTAGCAAGATATTAGACTTTCTAGCCAAGAAATCTATTGTTGACATTTCTTTAAATTCTTTTCTATATATCTTCTGAATCTCTTGCTCTGGCTGCAATATTAGACCATCCACCTATTTATTTTCCTAACTACACTAATTTCTATACTTCAAAGAACACATTCATTTAATATTTAATAGCTATTTAATAATAAAGCTCTGGTTGTTGAGATATTTAATAAATTTGTTGTGTACAGAAGTGTGTCTCAGAAGTTTTTATGCATGCTAGTAATTAGGCTAGTACCAGAAATGCATTGAACCCCACCAAATTAGTATGGATCAGCCTGTACCTTTGATCAGAAATTCATTCATCCTCTTGTACATCTTCCCAAGTGTTCATATCTCCAAGATATAAAGCTGCTAGAGTCTCTGCAGCTTCTAATCTACTAGCTAAGCAATTCCTTTCTAGATTCTGCTGTTTTGAGATTTTTCCCTTTAAATGCTGATCTTTATACTCTTGAAAACTCTTATAACCACCCTCTCTATACTCATTCCCTTCTTCAAGCCATATAATCTCTTGAATGTAATGTGAAATTCACTTAATCCACTGTTGAATCTTCTCTTGCAAAAGCTTATTTCAGACTTGCAGCCAAATCTCCCTTGCAGTCTTGGTTTTGTATGGAGCTCCACAAGAAGTTGTATGCCTTTTCATCCACATTCAAGCAGGCTCAATTGCATTTAAATCTGGTGAATTCCCTGGCCAAAGCAGCTGCTTTATTTCATGTAAACTATATAACTTTCTCTGCACAAAATGAATATGTACTGGTGCTCCATCTTCTTGCACTAGAGTCTTTGATTGATCTTTAAGGCACTTCTTTGCAAAAAGAATAAGCTTGGGAATAAGAACCTTCTAGTTAGAATAAAACAAGAAATTAGTCTTTATTTCAGTAGAAATTCAGAAAATATTCAGATCTTTTGATATCTATATTAATCTACTTCATTGCCTTTGCAAATTAGCTTTCTATTCTTCTCTGTAAACCAAAAGACTGGCCTTTTTCCAGGGATTCCATAAAGCTTTATCTGTTGCATAGCAGTATTGAGCTCCTATTTCTCTTTTGCCTCAGCTTCTCTTGCAATATTAAGCTCATCCAATTTCTTTTAAGCTTGCTGCTTCTCTGCAGAGGTCTCCACAGTTCAAATATGACAAGAACTCTTCTTTTCATAACTAAAACAGCCCCAAAACATGAAAGTTGAAGCCTTCTTCTATCTTCACCAGATACAGGTTTGATCATAAGCCTTTAAAGTTGTTCTTCATATACAAAGAGCTTTCTGTTGATGCCTCAAGACAACTGAAGTCTCATCCATCCAGATAACATTCTTCCAGTTATCTAAAGTCCAATTCTTGTAAGCAGTAGCAAATTTCAGCCTTTTCTCTCTTATAAACTCAGTTAGACCAGGTTTTCAAGTAGTTTGACATTAATAAAGTCATAATGCTGTAGAATTCACCAAACACTTGAGTAGAATATACCAGATTCAAAGGCAAGAATCTCAGTAGATTTTTCTTGGCCAGCTCTATCCTTTCAAATCAAATCCAATATCTCAGATTCTTTACTAAAATCTATCTCTTTAAAGTGTCCTGATCACTTTGCATCTTTAACAAATGAAATATCAATTTGCTGGTTCTCTTGAGGCTTATAGCTACAGTCTTTGGCTTATTTTTCAATCACTTGAAGGATTCTAGCAGGAATTCCTAGAGCAGTAGAGACTTTATTAACTGGTATTCCTCAAGAGACTAAAGCTAGAGCTTGGATGCAAATAGCAATTGGATGAAACTGATTATTTTTAGGCATTGGAAATTATTTGAAATGAGATTCAAGCTGGCAATTGTTTTGAAATCAGAAGGTACTTGTAGGTCCGTAGTTATTTGGTTGGGGGGTATTGTACTTTTGATACAGCTATAATTACTAGCGTGCGTAAAGACTTCTGAGACGCACCTCCGTAGAGCATTTGGCAAAATTTGGCTTGTTTAGTGGTGTGGCTTGTTTAGTGGTGAACTACCTTAACTAACTAGTTTAATTAACTAGTTAGGTTAACTGCCTGTGTGATTAACTAACTAACTATGTAACCACCTTAAGCCACGGAGCGGAGGCAGGTGAAAAGTCACCTGGGGGAATCTAGACCTGGTTCCTGATCTGTCTCTGACATCAATCGAATCCCTCAGCTCCGTTCTCACAATAGCCTCATATCCAGCTCAAACTGCAGAGTATTATCATAAACTTGAGATAATTTTGCTAGTCTAATGGCCTCATAGCAAAGCTGGGAAAACATCACCATAGGCCTTCTATTTAGCTACATTCACGTCATTTTGATTAACCAGAGCAGTTTTGCAGTTTTGTGACTCGCCCCGACCATAGTGCTCTCGGGTAACTTGAACAAAAGATGAAACCGCTTCGCCCTCTAGGCTAGCTGCGTCAATCCTAGAATGGAAACGCTTTCACCAGCAGCAACACAAATGCTCCAGCAGAAAGAAGAAGCCAACAGAAGATTTAATCCACGCGCATGGGCACTCAATCCTAGGAACCTTGGACTCAGTGAAATGCACACTTCCATACTCCGTAGATTGAGCATATAAATTCACATGAGTCCAACCATGCCAATCTCATGTATGTCAAACAGGGAATCCAAGCAGTCATTCAGAAGTATCTCCGCGGCTATGGAGGATAGAAAACTCGACCCATCTTAGTTTCTTAGTTGCCCATCGTTCCTGTTATTTATATTCAGTAGTCAGTCAATGATTCAGACTAAAATTATTCAAGGAATGGACCCCGGTATAAATTATAATGTTTGTGTTTGGCTCAACCACGCTCTTCTTGAATGCCACCATGGCAACGTGAGACTTCAGCTCTCGCTGCCTAAATCAGAACCACCACAGTACGGAGTACTTCTCTCCAGACTGTAAACAGTAATTAAGTGGCGTAAGATCCCTTACATCTGATCGACATTCGTCGAAACCTGCCCAATGGATCAAAAAGACCGGGAACACTGGTGATCGCGTTGAGCGTTACGTCCAGAACATCCACAGACTTGAACATGGATTTCTCAACAGTTGGGGTGCATGCGGAGCCTTAGTAGTTCTAGGTCATTTGAAGGCAACCCCTCATGGGTAAAACATAGAGAACGCTCGAACTCGAAAGATTTTGGTTGCATTTAACAGGAATCTAGGCTTGAATGATCTTCATAATGGGCTACCAATGCCTAAAACACACACACACACACAAAATAAAGAAAGAGGAAAAGGGGGAAAAAAATTTCAAGAATTACCAACAACAGACCACAGCACCTCCAAGAGCCAGTGCATACACAGCTTTGTCTTTATTTATTCTCTTTTTTTTCTTTTCTTTTCTTTTTTTTTTTTTTAAACTTCTTGTCCCTTCACTTTCTGATTCACCTCAGACCTTCATTTCCTCAAGGCCATGCTTCCAGATAGTGGCATATGGAGTCATGCCGTCTTCACGGAAGTCAATGAGGACATGCCTGGAAGAGGTACGGTCAGTAATGGGAGGACCAAACAAAGAAATTTTCTATTCCGTCAAGTTAGGATGGGGTAAGACGTACATTCCATTGGGGTCCATGGAAGCGCCCATGAGGACGTCGTAGTTGTCATAATTGGAAAGGATCTTCTTGACAGCAGCCTGGGCTCCGGTCTGGAATTCCTTGATCTCCTCAGGGCTAGCGCCCTTCTCCTTGAGCTTGTCGTTGACTTTCCTGACGTAGCCTGGCGGGAAGAGATTAGCCACGGCGGAGGAATTGAATTGGGGTTGGGTTGGGGTGGGCTTAGGGTGTTGCAACAGGATGTGGACTCACTCTTGAGATGGGATTTGAAAGAGTCCTTGGAGGGTTTCGTTTCCACTCCGTTCTCGTCAGGCTTCAACCAGTGGAGCTGGAAAGCCTCTTCAATATCATGGACCATGACGCCGCTGCTCTCCTCACCACCACCGTATTCGTCACCGCCCTCCTCAGCAGAGGGGTTGGCGCCAGCGAGCTCTACATCGAGTCAGCAGGTTGCACATATATGTGTGTGTGTCTGCGTCTGTCTGTGATTGGTACGGACCAAAGTTCTCTGCCTTCTTAGCGTACTTCTTGCAGTTGACCTCCCAGAGGACACCGCCAGGAACATCAATGAGTTTGTAGGTGTCGGACATGATCTCGTCCCCACTGATGATATCCTATGGACAATTTCAATCAGCCATTGTCATTCCAAAGTACGGGACCAAAAGAACGAGTGGATGCAGTTGTAGTCATTTTTATTTTTTTATTTTGCTGCTGTTCCACCCTTTTCTTTTTTTCATCTTATTTCTTTTTTTTTTTTTTTTTTCCCTTTTTTCAAAGAGTCTTTCGTTGAATTTTTCCCCCAGGCAAAACCGGGACAAGAGGTGGGCGGGGTAGAGGATGTGTACCTTGTAGATGATCATTTTTACAGTGCGATGAAGCTGCGGGTTGGGGGTTTGTTTCTTTGGAGTGCTGTTTGTGTTAAGAAAGAGCAAGCAGTGCAGTCACAGACAAGAGAAGAGAAGAATAGTGATGAAGGCGATTGAAGGGGGTGAAGGAGTGAAAGGGCAAGCGGACAGAGAAGTTCTTTTAAATGTTTCTGTGATTTTTTTGGCCCTGGGCCCGGGTGGTCCTTTTTTCTTTTTGGTGGGGTTAGTTAACTAATTGTTACTCTGCAGTGACAGCAAAACCTAGTCAAAAATGACTTAGAGGTTTCTGCCTCATTGTGCGTTCACCGCCCAACACCACACTAGCTTAGTCAGCAGAAGCAAAAATCCTTCTTCTCACGTGATATGGAGATAGATAAGATTATCAGGAATGAATTAGGTAATACAAAGCAGCCATCCGGGCCGACTTTTCCCCAACCGCGCCTTGACTGGCCTAAGCATCAAATTTGGTTTGCTTGGCCGCGAACCAAAAAATCTAACTACGACATTTTTGGCTTTAATGGCTTTCCTCTGGACTCCGAAGCGCAGTTGTTTTTGTATTTTTAACTTCACCTCTTGTCTCTCCCTCAACCAAAGTCGCCTGTCTCCTCTCTCTCCCCCTCTCTTCTCTCTCTTTCACGCTCTTTTGCTCCTCTTTGCTTGCTTCTCTGTTGTTCTTCCCATCCCAGGCTGTGTTTCCCCTCAGGCCATCCCGGATCCTGCGATGACGGGCGGCGAAGAAGGGCTCGAGACTCCATCCTCCGGCTAGCCTCCTGCCACCCCCTCTTGGCCTGTTCCTCTCCGACTTTTTGCTCTTTTGTCACCTTTGCTACTGCTCCTGCTGCTTGTGCTGCTTGTGCTACTTGTGCTCTGCCTCCTCCTACTCCTCCTCCTCCACCCCCTTCAGTGTTCGCTCTCTTTCCAGATATTCACACTCCTTCTTGTCCTGAGTAGTCAAGTCGGTTGGTTGCTGCGGCGTCAGACATCATAATCATAATCATCATCGGTCTTCCGCTGTTCCCCTACCGCAGTCCCCAACTTAGCACATCCATATACACGCGTGTATAGCTACATACTTCTGTGCCGCTGGCTGCCCACTCCAATTGGCCAAACGGACCCATCTCGCTCGATCTTTCCGCAACGTCCGGCTCTCTGCTTTTGCCTATACCGAGCTTGCTTGCTTCTCTCTGGTAGCTCTCTACCTTCTCACACCACCTTCTTGTTGTCATAACCTCCCCCTATAAATAGTTTAATCTCTGCACAGCCCGAACCGCAAATCTTCCTCTATCTGTATCTCTCACCTCCTTCCCACTACTTTTCTCTATTTCTGTCTTTCTCTCTCTCTCTCCCTCTCTCTCTCTCTCTTTTCCCTCCTCTTCATGGGCACACCTTCATTTTCATCTTTTGCTTGTCTGTTGAATTTATCCTGATATAGCAACTGTTTCCTCAGTTGTCACCTGTCCCTGCAATCCCAACCAGTGTCGCAGATCACAATGGCCAACTTCACAGAAGCCCTCCCGCCCCTCCCTGCCTACACCTTGGCGCCCCGTCAGCCCCTCGTCCCTCCCATCCCGGACAACATCATGATCCTCATCCTCCCCGTCGTCGCGTACTGGGTCGTCTCCATGGCCTTCCACTGGATAGATGTCAACGACTACTTTTCCCAGTACCGCCTCCACACCCCTGAAGAGCTCCTTAAGCGGAACCATGTCTCCAGGAGCGAGGTTGTCCGCGACGTCATCGTCCAGCAGATCATCCAGACCGCCGTCGGCCTCGGAATGGCATACATTGATGAACCCGAATACACCGGCATGGAGGACTACCAGGTTGCTGTCTGGGCCCGTCGCGTGAGGATTGCACAGAGAGCCATGCCACGGCTCCTCGTGCTCGTCGGCCTGGATCCCACCGGTTTGGCCGGCAAGCTCTCTCACTATCCAACCCTTGCGGCTGTTGTTTCTGGCGGTACATACCCATTTCTCACCCAGGAGATCGCCTCTGGGACCGGTGAGGCCATCGTGGCGCCGGCCTTTGCGCGTTGGGAGCTCTCGCTCGCTAGCATGATCTATTGGTACCTGATCCCGGCCTTTCAATTCCTCTTTGCTGTCTTCTTCGTAGATACCTGGCAGTATTTCCTGCATCGTGCCATGCACCTGAATAAGTGGCTCTACAGTAAGTAATTATTATTTGAATCTTTTTTTCTTCTTCCGGCCCCCCCTTCTCTCTTTTTTTTGCGCTAACCACCGCGAATTGGTCTTCCAATAGCAACCTTCCATTCACGGCACCATCGACTCTACGTGCCCTATGCTTTCGGTGCTCTGTACAACCATCCAGTCGAAGGCTTCCTACTTGACACTGCTGGAACTGGACTTGCATTCCTCATTTCCCGCATGAGTTCCCGCCAAGCGATGTGGTTCTTTACCTGCTCCACCATCAAAACAATCGACGATCACTGCGGATATGCTTTCCCATTTGATCCCCTGCAGAAAGTTACCTCCAACAACGCCGCATACCACGACATCCACCATCAAAGCTGGGGCATCAAAACCAACTTTTCTCAGCCTTTCTTCACCTTCTGGGATCGCCTCTTGAATACCAGATGGCATGGTGATGTGACTCTCCGGTATGAACGCTCACGCCTGGCTGCTCAGCGCATGGTAGAAGCAGAGAAAGCCCAGGAAGGCACTACCAAACCTGGAGTCAAACTCCCGCCAAAAGAAGAGGAGGAGAGCAACTCACGCAGTTTGCTTGCGAAAACTGTCTGCAAAAAGACCACCTCATTCTCCTCCCAAACGGAACCATACAAGGGTGCCTCCCACCGGATCAACAGTAGCATCCGACAAAAATAAATGCTCTGCACCACTGGACAGTGTTGCTCGCTTCGATTCTATCGACCCCGGGTATCTGCTTTAACGACGTTTATGACGTTCCCACTCAGTCAAGAATTACTTATTCCGGATTATAGAGTGGCTTTGTTGGACTAGCGTCGCCCCTTTAATCTTTGAAGCGGCGTGCTCTATCTTGGTATTGACAGCGTTTATCCAAAGCTGCTCTCAACCTATACCTCTCCGCTTTCCATTTTTCTTGATTTCCTTCTTATGAAGTCTGTGTTATGACCTCCTCTAATAATAAATAGCCTGGTCTTCCTTGTTTCCTTCTTTATTTTCTCTTGTAATCGATCTCTTTCATCCTGTTGCACTTTACATTTTCATCCCTTCTTGGCCAGACCATCCACCACCACTTTATGTATATTCTTGTCCGCATTCCAACCTGAATTCTGTCTTGTGTATTTTTATACATCGGTGTTGATCGCTACCTAAAACTTAATAATGAACGGTTTATTTTTTTATTTTCTTTTTTAATCATTTGTCTTCTTGGGGCCTGGGTCATATTTGTGTTGCAACAATTTCAGTCAGGGCTCCTGGAGGTTTGCAACCATTGTGCTCCATCGTGTGGTGTTCGATTCTGGCTTGTTCCCAATCACCGAGGCATCTTCCCATGAGCTCTGGGCCGAATATTCAACTCGTGGATCGCGAGTGAGGATGGACCGGTACTCGTCGGCCCAGTCACGGCTCGTTTTCGGCGTCGCTAAGCGTGCTACCTCGTTTGAGAATCCAGCAACAATGCGTCTACCATAGTGCAAACAGTTGTTGTCGAACACCTCTTGCTTGCCTTCAGCTTCGTGTATTGTCTCTGATGCTCCCGGGTGCTCAGACTGATTACAATGTGGAAGACATTGTGTCTGCGGGGAATCCGTTTCGTTGAATAATATCTCCATTCGCGAGTCTCGTTGATATAAGCGGATGATCTCGATGTCAAGGTCCGGGTCGTTGTCGTGGTCAAGCGCGCGTCCACCGCTGTATATGCTCGATGAAGGCCTGGGTGAAAGCAGGCCGGGAAGGTCTTCTTCCGCTTTTTCCTCCCGGCCTTCCTTCCGGCCTTCCTCCCTCCCGGCCTCTTTTCCTGGTTCTTCTTCATTGACGCCTTCCTCAGGTACGGCCGCCTCTGTGGCGACACAGTACCTTCTTCGCCTAAGTTTGTTTATTGTCTTTCTCACCTCCTTCAACTCCGCTGCATCCTCGCCACTTCTGACAAATATATCCAGCCTGCTTTCACCATGACACGCCATGCTCTCCTCCACCCATCGCATCAACTTCGGCGGTTTGCCTGCCCATCCTCTAGTCCGCGTCCGACTCAGCAGCACCGTACGCAGGTTCTTGATCGCCGTTGCATCCTGCAGGATTCGTGAGAGCATACACGCCTCACACCCACTGGCCTGGAAGTACCATTTCATATTCGACGGGAGGGCAAACTCCTTCTCCAGCCGTGTTGAGGTCATCCACATACCGTTGATTTCGCGCAGGGTATCAACCATGATCCGCTGCTTGACGGTTAGGCGCGAGCGGTGCATAGCGAGCCGATCTAGCCGCGGGCCGACTTCGAGCTGGACCAGCCGGAAGATCGAGCTGATTACGTGGCTATTTAGGCGCTTGTGCAGTGAACAGGACTTGGCTTCGCTCGGAAGGAGGCGGAGTGTGGTGCAAAAGAAGTCGCAGACTTTGGAACGCCGGAGGTGCCGGGGTAGGCTGGCGACAACGGCTGAGACGAAGATCCGCGCATCCTCCGGTGTTGCAGCTTGTGTTGTGAAGTAAAAGAGCCGAGCAAGGACCCTGATATCTTCTCGGGATAGGTCGCTGACAGACGTTGCGTGACGTTTTTTGAGTCCTTTGATCCCCATTGTTGTCACAAGCTAGTATTTCCCCTGAAAACGATGAATATGTTATGAATATCTCTCTCGCCAACCGGGTATTCGGTTAAGCTCCCCTGCTCAGGGATACCTAGGAAGCTGGATATGATGGATGTGTCACAAAGCCTTCCTCCCTTCATTTAGCCCACGCCGTTCTGTTTGCTGATTGTTCTTATCGAAACGTTATACTGCCATCCAAAGGCCCGCGAGCCCTAACAATCTAAAGATCTTGTACAGCCCAAGCGGTCACCCTCAGGATAAGCGAACGCAGAGACCAGAGGTCAAACAGTGTAGTCAAGACTAGCTTACATGTGAATTCAGACCTGGAGTGTTACCTTGGAGATGCTTACAGTTCTATGAAATCAATTCACCACTATGCATGAACATCCCGTGTGGTCTTGGTGACATAGATCCATTTTACCGACATAAGATGTCCTCAGTGACTGAAATGCCTTACAATGTGAACAACAATCCTCCCCTTCATACTTTGTAACACACCGACCCGGATTAACCCACAAACTCCTGTCAAAATTGTAACATGCTCGAGTGTTAAGCAGCTACGGTCAGTCCGGAAAGAGATTTCCTCTCTTGATTCTAGGAAGATCAATGCAGTTCTTGTTACTGAAAAGGGAGGTTTCAAATATCTTCCTGAAAATCCCCCTCCAACCCCATTTTCTTGTTTCTGACTTAGACTTCTCAAGCTTTCCTGGATAATTTGACAGTTTACTACTATCTGTGGGAGCCTGATTTAGTACATGCACACTATGTTTGCATGAAACAAGCAATTGAACGACCTCCGCATACCATCACCGCCGCAAGTAATGGTGCACTATGGATAAAGAGCAAAGAACAGAGAAGAGGAGGGTATAATTGATCTTGTATGTCTGTATGTACTCTATACGCATGGTATGTACTGTACATTAATGATGACATTAGGTTAGTTACACAGAAGATAGCCACTTTAGGTAGCAGCTAGAGAAACCCTGACGGGGCAAAGGTCGTTGATACAAAAAGGTGTCCAAAAAGAGGCGCATAGCGGTCGGGAGATGATAGACACACGTTAATCGTAAAGAATAGGGTTACAATCGCGGAGATCCGATCAGGGCATTTTCTTTTTTCATCGTTTCGACCAGACAACGGCTTGTCCAATCCGTAATCGCCATGTTGGTCACCATTGGATTGACGCCGCTTGCGCTCGGGAAAACAGACGCGTCCATGACATAAAGTCCGTCTGTTCCCCAAACCTGACCAGAAGGGTCGACAACACTCTTCCTCGCTGACGAGCCCATGCGACAAGTTCCCATCTGATGTGCACTGGCAAAACTTGATCCCCAAGTAGGAAGAGGATCACTTTGCCTCAGCTGTTGGATCCAGGCCTGAAAGGCCGGATTGTTGATGCCTTCTTCAAGAGAATCAGCAGGCTCTTTGGGGCGAACGAACGGAGGAACCGAATGGCAAGTGGTGCGAATCTCTTTGGCGCCCGAGACGTATGCTATCTTGGCGCTAGCGATGACGCCTTCCAGTATATGCTTCCGATCATAGGCCGAGGGTGTGTATTTGATTCTACATCTACCGTCGACGGGATCAGGATAAACTGAGCCCGTGTCTCTATCTCGGGCGAGAGAGATAAAGCCGCTCATGTTGCGAAGGTTTGCTGCGAATAGCTTGTAGTCGAGGCCATTTTTCCAGGTGAACGACGGAAGGAAAAACGAGGGCATCATCGTCAGTGCCTCGATTTTCGTGCCATGGCCGGTGCCATCTACGTTTTCAAAATCGCTGACCACAGACGTCAATATTCCTCCTTCCCATGGGCGAGTCTCATGATCGTAGATAGCACCGACAATCATAACTTGTTTACAAATGGTTTGGTTAGCGATGTAAACTTTTGAGAAGACCTTTTTTTTTTTTTTTTTTTTTTTTTTTTTTTTTGAATTGGTATCCTTCTATCTCTCTTTCGCCCACTTTGCTTAAGGCTCAGAGAGGTGAGCGATAACCAAGGTAACATACCTGGATGAAGGTGTAGGTTCCGTCCTATATGTGAATTCTTGAGACCGCTGCGAAGGAGCAGCAAAGGAGACTGCAGGGAGCCACAGGAAATGATCACTTTCTTCGCCTTGACGATCAGTTTTTTGCTGACAAGGGGCTGGCCGTGGGTCAACCCGTTCGCATCTCTTGACCTCCAGGTTCCCTTTACCCCGACGGCAACTTTAGGGCGCTTGGGGTCGCGTGTGTCGAAGCGGACCTTGTCCACCTCAAACCCCTCGATAAAGGTCGCACCGGCCCTGGCGGCGTCAGCAAGGAACGAGACAGCGGGGCCCTGCTTAGTGGCGGACGCGCATCCAAGTGTGCAGTATCCGCAGTAATGCTTTTGGTTGCCAGTGTTCTGAGGAACGGCTTTTGCATTGTAGCCCAGCTTGCGGGCGCCTTCAAGGAGGACGGAGTTGCTAAAATTGTGCTCGATATGATCCGTGGAAGCGCCCATATAGTCACAGACGCGATCGAGGGAATCCTGGAAGGCCATAGAGGTGAAGAGGTCGAGGCCGGATTTTGCCCACTCCTGGCGGACGTACGACTGAGTCTGAAGAGAGGCGGACCAGTTGATCGTCCCGCCGCCTCCCCAGGTCGAACCGGAGAGGACCGAGATGGAGCCGTCGTCGGAGATCTCTGCGCCGCCGTTGGCGTACAGATGGACCGTTCCTGCTGCGGCGGTCATCGGGTAGTGGTTTTCGGAGAAGTAGTATGACTTCTCTGCGACGATGACGCGATAGCCGGCCTCTGCGAGGTTTTTCGCGGCCACACCGGCTCCGCAGCCACTGCCGACGATGACGACGTCAGTCTCGATGATCTCCATAGCGTCGCCAGCGGGGAACTGGAGGAACGTGTAAGGGTAGCCCTCGCCTGTCTTTCCGTGGACGGGAACACGAGGCAGGCCCAGCACCTTGGGCAGGGTTGGGCTGATGGAGGTCCATGACTTGTGACAGAGGGCGACGAGGGAGCGGTGCGCACGTCGCAAGGCGGGGAAGTAAGAGGTCTCCCAAGCGCGCAGGACGGACTCGCGGACATGGACGGGCTGCAGGCGAAAGGGGACGGTCGAGCCGGTCAGGGGGAGGGCGAAGGCGCGGTGGTTGAGGAGGGTGAGGAGCCTCAGGAGGGCGCTGCGGGCCTCCGGGGGAACGTAGAGGGCGAGGGTGCGGCAAAGAGACTCCTTGAAGGCGGGGATGGCGACGGCGTTTTCCTCGAGGTAGTTCTGGGCCAGGGCAAGACGGTCGGGGTCGTTTGAGCCAGCGACGAGCAGTGCGATCGCATCATCGTAGTCCTTATCGGCAACGGCATGGTGGCAGGCGGGGACGGCAGCCCTCTTGCGACGAATAGAGGGGATGATGGCGTCTGCGATGGATAGCAGGGTGGCCCACTGGCACGGGTCGAAGATGTCGTGTGTCTCGGGGGCGGGAGGCAGGGGGGTCTCCTTGATGATGTAGGTAACGGCGTCGGAGACAGCCATGGCGACGTAACTAACAATAGACGGGTCGTGAAGCGAGCGGACGGAATGGTATGTACATACAGCGCATGTGCCAGGAAGAGACACGGTGATTGATATCGCACACACACAGAGAGAGAGAGAGACAGAGAGAGAAGAGGTGAAGTGAAGTGAAGAAGAAAAAGAAGAATAAAAGGAAGAAGAGGAGGAGGAGAGGAGGAGCGGGGAAGGAGCGAACTTGGGGGGAGGTGTTTTGGCCAGCTAGGGTTACCTGAAGAGGAAAAAGCCTGGGGTTTTTACGCATCCAGCAAGAACAAAGCAAAAACAAGATAATTAAAAAGGCAAGAGTAAAAGGCACAGCCAACTTGGCAGGCACGCGTCTCAATCCTTCTTCCCAGGTCAAGCAGGAAGGGCACCTTCCCTAGTATCCCCCAGTTGTTCAGCTAACTAGGTAACTACCCAAGCCAGAGAAGCACAAAACAAGCTGAAAGGGGAAGTGTGTTTGTATACACACACTGGCAGAGTTGAGTGAAAATTAGTGACTGAATGAGTGAGTGAATGATGCAGAGAATAATAGACAAGAGAGAGAGAGAGAGGTAATGCAATGGAGAAATGGCACCAGCAGTCAGTGCTGCATCTTCTCTTTGTTGAATCTCTTTCTTTTTTTGGACGTTGATTCTATGTATCAGCTGCTTCAGCGCGTTCAGCCGAGGTTCCCCACTGCAGATGACTCAGCACAGGCCTCCTCTTCGTTTAACTTAACTAACTACTCCGTACTCCCGTAGTTAACTAGGTTAGGCCAAAAGTTAGTTACTTGCACTTGTATCCAAAGTACGGAGTACATAACTGTGGGGTAGGTGGTGGGTTCACCTAACTCTCCCCATAACAACCCCCCTGTTAATACATATAGACTACTCCGTACAGAGTACTCAGGCCAAAAAAAAAGAATAAATAAATAAATAAAAGGCCAATCCGCCTAGGGTGGTTGAGTTCAATTTGTCTCTTGATGACATCTTGTCTTGATATACTCCGTATTCCCCCTGAAATCCTGCCACGAGACCCTCCAAGGTTTGTCTTTTTCCCCGCCAAATGTGAACAAAATATACGGAGTAACTAAAACAGGCCGAGCACGCCGTCCACAGCTTTGACCTGGGGAGCGAAGAAGAGGAAACCTTCGCCAGCTGAGATGGAATGCTGGAATCGGGCCTTTCGCGGGTTATACTCAGTGCTAGGGATCAATCTTTCTTTCTTGTCAAGCTCCCTCTGACTCAACATTGTGCAACCTTGGTCACCAGTCTCGCGTCAACCAACCTGCCTGATAACTTGTCGCTTGCACTATAAAAACCGTGTCCCTGTTCTCGTAGTTTGTTACCTAGTTAACTACGGAGTACTCCATAGTTGGTTGGTTAGCTCGACCTCCCGGCCAGCGCATCACCTCGGGCCGATGGGGGGGGGTGTCCACCGTTTGGAAACCCAGAGTCCATCGGCCTTATGCTGGCGTAACTACATGACTGGTGACCCAATCGTTCAGATATCTCCCCTTAGTGCCGGTTCTCGGGATTTTTGCCCTCATCACGCAGATAACCGTGCCGTTGCTGTCTTTCCACTTCCCGGGGATGCCTAATTCCATGTTATGTAGTTGGTTCTCCGGCCTCGTTTGTTGTCTGCATCCTTGAGCAGCAGCACGGAACTACATCATATAAATACTTTATTTTTTTTTCTACCTCCAGCCAGCCAGTCAGCGGGAGAGGTCCAGTTTGATTGCTCTAAACTTCTCATCGAAACACTGCTGCCCATCAAACCCTCCTCTTTCTGTAACTGCACATACCCTAGCATTAAACTTGATCATGCCAGCCGGGACGAATCGCAGCCGCGTCTACGTCGTGGGCGTCGGCATGACCCCATTCTTGAAGCCAAATCCCGCCAGAGACTACCCTCCCCTGGGCCTGGAAGCCGGCACAAAGGCTCTCCTCGATGCTGGCATCACGTACGACCAGGTCCAGCAAGGTTACGCCTGCTACGCCTTTGGAGACTCGACCTCCGGGCAGCGGGTGTTCTACCAGTTCGGTAGGACCGCAGCAGACTGCAGCCACCCTTGACTGACTTGGAAGACAGGCATGACCGGAATCCCTATCTTCAACGTGAACAACGCTTGCGCCACCGGCTCGTCCGGCCTGTACCTCGCTCGTCAGTCTCTTAGCCTTGGAGCCGCTGATGTTGCCCTCGTCATCGGCTTCGAGAAGATGCAGGCCGGTCGTATCAAGAAGGCCTTTTTGGATCGTGCCATTCCCCAAGGTCTCCTGGCCGAGAAGATGTTTGCTCTGAACCCCAACAGTGAGCCGGGAAATATGAGTCTCTTCGGTAATGCGGGCTTAGAGTACATCGAGAAGTATGCATGAACCCCCTAATGTCTGCTCAAGAAAAAAAATCTTTGTGCGCTAAGACAGAAAAACCTCTCCCCCGGCCCTGGTATAGATACGATGCCGTTCCTGATGATCTCAACGAGATTGCCCGCATCAACCATGCTCATAGTGCTCAGAACCCTTACAGTCAGTTCCGTACCGTTTACTCTCTAGACCAGATCAAAAGTAGCCCATCTATGTATGGCCCGGTCACGAAACTGCAATGGTCAGCAATCTTTGTCCTTTCTTTCTTTCTTTCTTTCTTTCTTTCTTTCTTGCTTCTTTCCTTTTTTCTTTTTTTTTTTTTTTTTTTTTTTTTTTTTTTTTTTTTTTGGCAGTTAAAGATTAAAGAAATTAATTCCTCTCTGATAAATAGTTGTCCAACATCAGATGGCGCTGCCGCGGCCGTCGTGGTATCTGAAGCCTGGTTGGACAAACACCCCGAGCTGAAAAGCAAGGCTGTAGAGATCGTTGGCCAGTCAATCGTTACGTGAGTCGGCTTGTGAACTACATTCTCAGGAGCTTAGACTAATCTTGTTAGTGATCAATCCGATACTTACGGGACCTCTTCTATGGATCTCGTTGGCTATCAGATGTCCAAGCGTGCCTGCCGCGAAGCTCTTGTCCAGGCTAACGTCTCTGTCTCCCAAGTCGGAGTGTGTGAGCTCCATGACTGCTTCGCCGCAAACGAGCTGATTACCATCGACGCCTTGGGTCTCTGCGAGCCCGGCAAAGCGGGGAAATTTGTTCGCGAGGGAAATATCACGCATGGCGGGAAAGTCCTGGTTAACCCTTCTGGCGGCCTGATTTCAAAAGGTCACCCATTAGGCGCTACGGGACTGGCACAGTGTACTGAGCTGGTGTGGCAGCTGCGTGGGTGGGCAAATAACCGCCTTGCCCCCCAAACTACGGTGGCTTTGCAGCATAACCTTGGCCTCGGCGGCGCCGCGGTGGTCTCGGTCTACAAGCGCGCCGACGGCAAGCAAAATGATCCTCGACCCAATACGGAAATTGCCGAGGCATCTGGGCTAGGATACAACCCTGCGATCGAAGCGAAGCAGGTCACTGTTGCGCAGGTGAAGAAAGTCTTGAGCAGTAGGCATAACAACGAATGGGCTCGTGTTGGTGGGAAAGGGAATGACTTACAGGGACCTCTTCTCGCAAGAATGTAGACAGCGTGTGCCCGTGCGTAACATTGTGTCCTGGTTTGAGACTTGACTCATTTAACCTTTAGGATGGCTTGTTTTATTCTAACTACTGAGATGACAACCCAGAACCGTCCCATTGTGATAATATGAATATTGGTGACAGTTGGAGACACAGCTGCAATAAACTAGCCAGGATCATGTCTATGTGCATATTTAGCTTCTCTTGTAAGATCTGTAGTGAACCTTCTGCTGTTGATACATCACCAATAATTGAGAGCAGGCTGCCCAGCCTCAGGGGCAGAACAATTTTTATATCATTCTTGGTCATAATGCGAGTCAAAATGACCACATTGTAATATCATAACAATCGTTGAATATGTGAACATGGTCACAGGAACATCGTCAAATCATACAAGGAAACAGATATCAAGAATTCAAAGTGGAATCAAAGTGGAAATGAATGGGGTCAATATGTCATTAAAACAGTTTGTGGGGGGGATGAAACACAGATTTGAATGTCAGATGAGACGTCCTCATCACCATGTCTTGAACTCCGGCTCCCCTTCATGGCGTGACTCAGAGTCAGATGAGAAATCTTCTGTGATGCCTGACACAAAATGGCCTCGCCGCATATCCTCTTCTTCATTAATAGCTCTAGCATGATTATTATTGTCACTCGTCATAGTGTTATTCAATGTTGCCTGGAAACCTGTACTTGATAGGGATGAATTGTGCCGGTTATGTGTTGGTTGCCTGGGAGTACTTTCAGGAGGCGGACTGACTGGCGGAGAAACGGGACCTGGCTCTGGAGAAACGGGGCTAAGAAAGCTCTCTGCGTCGCTAGGGAATCGAGGTCGTGAGGAGATTGGGGATTCATTATATTCGGTAGGGAGTTCCAAGGGTGCGATGACTGTGGCGCCTAGATAAGTGGTACTTAGGTCACCGACGTTCTATATTCAATAGGGAAGTGAACAAACCTAGCGCTGGATTGGAATTATCTTGTAGTTCATGTACTGGAGAGCTTGCCGCTTCATTGAGATCGGAATATACAATGGCAGATCTCGAATGAGGTGTGAGTACAGATTCATTGCCAGCTTCCGAATATTGGGCTGACAAATGTTTCTCGGGAGGCAACCCTGGATCGGTCGCCGTCGTCGTGGTCGCATCGATGTTCTTGCCTGGCGGCGCGCCTGTTCCGTAGATCCATCGCATAATTCTCTTCCTGTTATCACTCGTAGCACCGACACTTGAAGCGTATCGCCTATCCTTCCGGCGACGCCAGAGAAGCCAAGCAACCACTAAACCGGTAATCAAGATGAGTCCGAGAACCACACCAAGTACCGGGCCAACCCACTTGGGGAGGCCACCACCTCCAGACGGAGCTGCACCGGGCGTTTCGGTAGGGCTTCCTGTTGCACGATAAGGATAATACGTTTTGATTGGCTTGGGATATTTCTTTCTAAAAACGGTACCAAGTTCCTCATCCTCCCACCCTAACCGAGGTTCTGTCATTGTGGCATCACCATCAGCACTATCGCTTTGGTTAGCAATGAGAAACGAGGGAAGGCTGCATCGGATTGGCTGATGCCTTGAATAACTTACTTTCCACCTATTATACTCGTCACGATTTCTGGAACTTTGTACTCCTCCCACTCCTCAGGATCATAGACATTTTGGAACTCGACAGAGTTAAGGTTGAGGACCTGAATAAGACCCCCGTCCAAGCATGTACTCGAATCTTTAAATATCCCACCAATGACGAGCATCTTATCAGGGTAGGGTTTAACGCATTGATGGCCCCGCCTTCCGTGTTGACTTCGCCCCTGGGGAGCCTTTATCCATTCGAAAGATGGCACGGAAAGAATATATACGTCGTCGGATGACGTTTCATTTCGATGGCTGCCACCATAGCCACCGTAGATATAAATATTGTGTGAGCTCCCATCTTTTGCAGAAGCTACGACAGAGCAAAAGTCACTACGCGCAGGAGGATGTTCACCAGTAGTGTTTTGCGTGTACCTAGTATAGTCAGCTATAATATTATATCTCTGCACACGAGAGGGCGATAGGGGACTGACCAATTACCAGAATCGATGTCATATACTGGCACGGTTTTCATGAAGCTCTCACCCATAACTTTCTAAGCAGAAATTAAATGTTACTCGAAGTACAATCAAATGGTAAGGACGATTGCACGCTTACATTGGACCTTTGCTGATCTTGAGTTGGTACAGGGGTTCTGAGAGAGGTTTCGGGGTATGGAACGCCACCAACAGCTATTAGCACTCCGGCGTCGGACACTGGAATCCACGAAAGCTCTGCCTTTCCCCTGGGAGTGACATTGAACTTGGTATTATTAGTCCACTGTTCGCCCCTCCATTCAGTCATATCAACTGAAATAAGGGTATTCGCCGCCCTGTCTGGCTTAGGGCTTGGGATCGAGATCTCCCCCCAATCTTCCCCGCGCAGTCCGCTGAAGTAATAGCCTCGGTTTTCACTGGGGACGGACACACTGGCCCCATGAGTAATATATCGAGTTACATCGTTATTAGTGCGCGAGTCAACAAAGCCTTGGCTCCAAGTTGTGACACCTTCGGGGCCCCAGAAATACCGTTCGTAAGAGAGAATCTGATCTGAATATGGAAGGGGATTGGGGTTTGTTCGGGAAACAAGGCCGCTGGGGCAGTCAGAAGTAGCACCAATGATGATTTCGATGCAAACATACCCGTATAGTATAAATTCGTTCTCACTTGCAAACATGGCACCATCCATGTAATTTCGCGCAAGACTACTACCCGCACCCGGGAAAGGTTTGAGACGACCAAACAGAGAGGTTAAATTCGTGCGTGTAGTATCGAATGGTGTTGAAAGGGAGAGAGTAAAGACGTCGCCGTCGACATTCTCTAATTCAAGCTCAGATTGGCGTTCAAACTATGTTGCTAGGCTGGTGGTCAGGAAAGTATAAACATACTATCTCTTTCCAAGGCGCCGTAGCCGCCATCTTCACGTCCTCTGAGTGGCATCACATATCAGCATCCCGAACGAGGGCCCGCGCAAATTTTTGAAATACATACGGCGCCCACCAAAGAATACCTCCATCTAAATATACCGTGTCCCGAATAACACCCACTGGAAGGAAAACTCAGCATCAAACTTAGTAAGGAGTTGCATCACGTACCTCGGAAGTGATTCCAGTTACACATAGTGACGTTGACAATATCTGGGAAGATTTGCGCGGACACAAGCCCGGCCGCTCCCAGAGCAATACTCAAAACAGCGGCGGAGAGGGGCGCCATTTTACAATGCTTTCTTTCCACACCCTGCTGAGTGGCCAGAGTCTGTAAAGGTCAGAGCGCCCTAGAGAGCTCTTGGAGACCTCGCTCATGGGCCTAGGGAATATTATCAACATCAAAATCGATGGATGGAAACTGTCTTGAAATACTGTTGAAATGAATTGACCAAGTTGCCTGAGAACAGCAGCGACCAAAAAGCGTGTTCCAGTCTGCTGGAATTTCATCCAGAAAAAAATAAAAGGAAAATAAAATAGAACGATATGGAGAAGATGCGGGTGCCTGGAGTTCTGCTATCCTCGATGGGATATGCTGAATGGCCTCCGGTGGAGGTCTAATGACAGAAGAACTTTTTCAATCTTAAATTACCGCACATGCTTGGAACAGAATATTAGGCAACACATGGATGGGCAAGTGATGCAAGTAATGCAACCAGCGAAATTGAAGAAGGGAGAACTAGCCAATGCGGAGTGAACCGAACGCGAACAGGCAAAGCATAAAGTAACTCACCACAAAGATGCGGCTCAAGCTAAAGATGGCCTCAACGGTCTCTAGAGGTAAATTGAAGAGTAAATGTCTCCAGCCTTAACCTCGTTTGCAAATCAAGGAAATGAAGTCGAGGCATAAAAAAAGCCGGGTGAAGGACAATGAGATTTGTGGCGTACGTTTTGTTGAGCATCACAAGATGATGTGACAATCCACATGGATGGCTGAAGAGAATCGAAGTGTCTGCCACCCACTCGAGGAATCCCATGCTCATGTGAAGATAAGAATAGCCCTCCGTAAGCAAGCGATAATAATAGGTCGAATTATACCAAGGCCTCGTTCGAGGGCGATCAAAACAAGGTGCCGATAACATCACGTCTGAGCTCAGAAAACAATTCTCCAAAACAGTGTTACATTCAAGCTAACCAGGATACAAGGGTGGGTGGCTTTCTTTTTTTTTTTTTTTTTTTTTTTTTTTTTTTTTCCCTTCTCTCTCTCCTTAGCTTTAGTCTGGCGTGGATAACTCATTAGTGAGGGGAAATAGTTGTTCTTTCAGGAGAACAATATAATTCGTCAAGGAGTTCATGCCATCCGTGTGCGCTGCATGTCATGCTTGGGTTCCTCCGTAACTTAACTAACCAACTAGTTATGTAACTAGCTTTACGGAGGATTGACTTGTTAGTTAGTTAGCTTGGCAGAAAACCGGGGAAAAGACCGCAATGCCCAACGGGTGCGCTAGCAAACTCGACTGATGTCAACGTGTGTGAGAGACCAAGCTGGAGCTGGCGCGGGTCATTTAATTACGCTCAACCCGGCGGACCCTACCGCCAGTCGTTCTGCTTATAATCCTGATCAGAAATGAGTTCATAAGCCAACGCTGCCATTTCTTTCATGATCTCAAAATTCAAGACTCCACAGATGTATGGCATGCAGAGATTATACTCCTCACAAGCCAGCCGCCTTGACTGATTGTAGGGCCTGAAGGACTTTGCGGTGCACGATACCCCTCGACCTCTGACTCATTATTCAGACAGGATCCATGGCAATTGACATGGATGGAATTCGAGATAGGACAGCGCCCAGTGAAGATATACACCGGCGCTCAAGGCGGAGAGCCCGGGTGGGTGATATCAGCTAAGGATTTGTATGTCAGGATTTGTATGCCATCCAACAGCGCGGCAAACAAAGCAAAAACACAATTCTCGCAAATGGGAGATGTAGCTACACATTCAACTGTCCTCCATTTGAACAGAGGTCCTACCACTTGATGGCGACTATGGTCATGATGATAGTTCTTACAATTGTAGGATTGTCAATCCAGTTTGAGCAGCCTTGCTGTCGTCGCAGTCACATCGCCGAACATGAGCGGCGATGACTTTTGCAGTGGGGCAGCAACTTCGTTGTGTTAAGGTTCAGCTGCGGCTGGGTGCAGTTTGATGCTGGGTTGCCAAATCGTCGGTGTGTGCTGTGGACTATCGACAGTCTTTATTCTCCATCTCTTTCGACAGAGAACTCTTCTCTCTCTCTCCCCCTCTCTCTTTTTCTTTTCTTTTCTTTCTTTTTTTTTTTTTTTTTTTTTTTTTTTTTTTTTTTTTGTGTTTGTTTGGCCAGCCCAACAGGCGCCGTGCGACCGAAGCCGGATATGCCCGGTACGAGGATGCATTTATGCTTGTCAGCTGGTAAAGGGAATTGAGAGTCGGCACCTTACTCCAAAGCAGTGTAAGATCTCAACTGGTGAAAATCTCGTTTCTCTCCGTTTATCACTCTATGGCCGGGGTGGCATCGACTGGAGATGGATGCGGTTGTCCTCGTAGAGTAGCCATGCGAAAACACGTCTTGTGTTTCGCGGCCAATGTTACATCTGTTTCTGGAACAGAGTGACAGAGGCGCACCCGGCCCTTGTTGATGATGGACAGGGATACAGGAGGAGGTGCAGTTGAGAGGGGTGTGAGGGGTAACTCTGTACGAGTACTCCGTAACCAAGGGCTCGATTTCCGTTAGCGAGCTGATCGCGCAGGGTCGGAACAAAGTCGACGGGCCGGCGACCCCGAGCTGTTGCTCTTCGCGACCCCCGCCGTGGACACGGGCATGAAAGCGATCGTCGTGGCCGGGCGTCGTCCTTGGTTGACGTTTCGGGAGATCAGCGCCTGCTGACTAAGGATCGTTCGCTGGGTCGGGCAAAAACAACAAAGCAACGTCCATTTTCCGTCACCGGCCGTTCGACAAACCGCTTCTATCGACCATCATCATCCATCTCCATCATCTCGGAATGCTGCAGAATCTGCAAAACCCCCCATTTGATAATATCGGCCACATCAAGTAGCCATTCTTCGCTCAAGATATTCCATACTGACTGCGTGTCCCACTCCCTAGTTCGCGGACCCTGTCTCTCTGCAAATGAGACCTGTCCCAAATCCTACCCGGTTAACGGCCAAAATGAAATATTTCTGTCCTTGACGAATAGTTCAAGATTACATATCATGCCACTTTTAAACCAATGCCGTTCTGGGCGGCCGACTCACAAATCAACATGTTTGGCTGGGCGACGTTCTCGTCCTTGCATTTGGCACCAAAGAGCGCCTAGCAGGGTATCCCTTGCTAGCGGCTTCTATTATGCACAGTCTCTGGAGTATTGCCAACAATCTTCGTATTAAGCGTGCAAAAAGCAAACGAAACCCATTACTCGCACCACAGAGCTTTCCATCCATGAGTGCATGATATGCACCAGCATGCACTCATGATTTGTCCCTGCGCTGGTCTCCCTGGTTACGAGTACGACCATGGCGGGTCCTCCCCCCTCCCGCCTTGGATACCTTGAGGCACACCGCTGACGCGACATCCATCATCCCGCAGAGAGCACCAGCTCGCTGCGGCTCTCTGGTGGTTGGGGAAATTCCCGGCTGTGCATGGCAGAGAGCCCTTGCAACTCGCGACTTACCCGGCCATGTGGTCCCATGTCCGTTCTCCTTAGCGGTTTGCCATTTTCGTTCAGGGCATTGCCGAATTGGAAGTGACCAGAGCTGCTCCTGGTTTCTCTCGGAAGGCGGATTGAGCCTCGATTTCTCTGTAACTCAAGGCGGGGAGGGAGTGGGGGGTTGTTCTCCCTGCACATCCTGGTCGCTGACTTCGCAGCTCGATTTCCGCATATACTCTGCCCAGACACCCTTTGAAATTCTCAAGTTCTCCCCTTTGCTGTTGTTTTTGTTCCTTTTGCTTCATGACCTCTTGACTCTCGTGCCTGTTGCCTCCCACTTCCTTTTCTGCGCTCTGGCCGTGTCAACTTTCTGTCAGCCGGCGCCACGGCTATCTACTCACCCAGCGTCCATCAGGCGACCGTGAGGTTCACCAATTGCCTCGCATTATGAGGTTTTTTCGTTCCTTCCTCCTTTTGAGCGCGCCGCTCTACCCTCAAGCTTACGGGCAAGGCGAAGCGTATACCCCAGTCCTAGAGAGTCATGGCTCTGGGTCCCAGGTTCCTTCGACGGGGAATAGCTCCCTTCCAGCCTCCACGGACCTGCCATCGCCAACGCAGATTGAAGATGTAACATCCTCGGCTGTTTATGCAAGTCGACCAGCAGATGACAGTGACTCGGTGAGATGTTGCAAATGCAAACCCCAGGGCAGAAACAGAACTAAAGTTATCAGCGCTCTAACATTCTATACAGCTTGAGGTTTACTGTCTTCATTCCAAATGCTATACATCTACAAGACTGATCACAAGAACTTTCTCATGGCCCACCCACTGGCCCAGTAAATATCCCGAACCACCCTGCCACGACCCATGGTGTTGGTGGTGGAAGACTGTCACAAAGACTATTGTCAAGACAGAAACCGCCACAGAGGTTGTCACAGAGATCATTACAGATATTGAGACTGAGACTGTCACTGTGCCCCGGACTGAAGACCATACAGTCACTGTGACAGATGAGGAAACACTCACCTTGCCCCAAGATACCATCACTCTTCCCCCAGAGACCATTACTGATGTTACTACTCTTCCCCCCGAGACAACAACTGAGGTGGTCACCCTGCCTCCTGTCACAAGCACCATTACCACTACACTTCCTCCTGATACAGTGACAGTTCCCGGTGGGGTAACTACGCTTCCACCGCGAACAATAACTGTGACAACAACTTTGCCCGCAAGCACAGTGACTAGAGTCACCACGCTCCCGCCAAGAGTGTCTACAATCTATCAAACAGTCTCTCACACAAAAACAATCCCGGGAACAGACCGCACTGTGACAAGAACAGTGGATTACATTTCGATCTGTCCATCACGCACATTGAACCCAACTTTTACTCCAACTGCGCCAGTTCCATCACATTATATTTGGGGTTGTCCACCGGGCACTCTTTGCAGGCCAAGGCACGGCCCCGAAGACGGTAACTGTAACTTCGAAGTTGGTCTCCCTGGCGCAGACTTTTTTTGCAGTCCGGAGGAATGCGGGCCGCCACTGCCCGAACGCCCGCCACAATATTGGGGTGAGCCAGTGTTTGGAACACAAGTTGAGAAATATGTTGTGTCCCCGGGTTATTATTACCTTGATCCTCGAATGTTCGGCCTCGATTTCGATGTATTTGTGTTCGATAATACAACCAGTGAATACAGCGAACACGGCTTACACAAGCGCCAAGGTGACATTCAGTTACCTCCTAACTGCATGGATGAGTGCAGTAATGTGGCCCTGCCCATCCAAAGCGGGATAAGTCGTGATGAGCTTTGTCTTATCGGCTCCGATTTCCTACAGTTTGTAAGCGAGTGCAGGGACTGCATTGACCTTTTCGCCGAACCCGGCGGTGGCACATTCCCGGATATCCAACCTCAATTCGCGCAGTTCCTAAATTATTGTGAGCAACATCCAGGCGAATCTAGCGTCAGCCCGGAACCACAGCTTCCTTCAAGTACCACCCGAGACACCGGTTCGTCCACTGAGCCCTCAACTTCTGCTCCTACTTCTTCTTCTTCTTCTTCTTCTTCTTCTTCTTCTTCTTCTTCTTCTTCTTCTTCTTCTTCTTCTTCTTCTTCTTCTTCTTCTTCTTCTTCTTCCCCCTCTTCTGCTCCACCGTCTTCGCCTTCTTCCTCTTCCTCTTCTTCGCCTTCTTCATCTTCTTCTTATACACCTGATAGCTCTTCTGTTTCTACACGTTCTTCAGCGCCTGAGTCATCTCGGCCAACATCTCAAGCAGAGACCACACCAGAAATGAGCACCACGGTACCTACGGAACCTCCTTATCCAACGACGCCCACACAAACCACCTCTATGACTAGTCATCCCAGTGATGGGATTCCAATTCCTCCTTCTACTACGCCCATAGAATTCCCAGGAGTTGCGACAGCTATTCAGCCACTTCCATGGACCTCTCTCATGGGAAGCATAGCTGTAATGTTATTTGCATTTTTTTGAACTTAATATTTTATTGTGAATACCTTAATGTCCCCTCTACCTTGGGTCTCACACCGACGCATCTCTTCTGCTATGCCAGGCGATCTATCTTCCTCCGGCATAATGATGCATGCAACACTTGGTTGGCTTTAAATTGACCGGGCTTCAGTGGATCCTCTTCGTACACACGCCCAAACCGAGTACATCCCACTCTTTCCCAGCCACTTCCTGTACTTAATATCGTCACTTCCTTGTTCCCTCCTGTATCAGTTACCTGGGTCAAACAGATTGCGATCCTCACTGCGTATTTAGAACGTGCCGTGTTTATGATTTCTGCGTGAAATTTCGAGTTTTCAACTACCTTGTATGAGCAGTAATACGACGTGCATGGCCCTTGCTTGGAGTGGTTATATAGCTTCTTTGGCAACATTTTTTGTAAACGAGGACTTCTTGACCTCCTGAGAATTCACTACGGGTGTAAAAATGACGGACTGTCGCCTTTAAGGCTACGACCAGCCCGCAGGGCTTGTGTTTGATAGCAGCCAATATTCTCTTTTTGTCTACTCCGTACACGTTCTCTTCACCCAGGGACAACGTTAGTGACATGTATAGCAGATGGCACGGGGAACCCCAGAGGGTAGTTATGGTTCCTATATGCGTATGTTTAGTGTAAACATTCAGGGCTGGTGGTACCGCGAATGTATATGTGCAGGCGACATGCAGGCAGAGTCGAGCTTCACGTCCGAGTGCGGGGAAAAATTGCCGCAGTGGATCTTTGTTCCGAGGAGCTGGTCCTGGGTTAAACTCTTTGTTGTCCGGGGCACGAAAATGCTAGGGATGTCGACTGGCGTCTCTGTCTCAAAATGATTCGCGGCTGACATGGAGGGCTCTAGAGAAAAAAGGCCAAAGTATTTTTCCATACACACGCATTTCATCATTCAAGTAGGCTACGGAGTACATAAGGTAGTTCACCACTAAACGAGCCACACCACTAAATGAGCCAAATTTTCCACCACCAAATTCCTTCAATGTTCAACATTTAATATGTGACAACATGGTCAACAACACCTCAATTAGGCTTGCAATTGAAGATCTTGAATTGCAAGAGACCCCAAATTATGCTGCAACTGTAAGAAAGTACTCAGTTAACTGAGAGATCCTGCACTAACAGCATAAAGACTTGCAACCTGCTCAGGATAAAGTGGCCTCCTGATATAAGAAAAAGCTCTCTGATATACAGGAGGCAGAGCTTCTGAATTATATAAACAAGCTTTCTAGCTGCAGCCTTGCCATTACATCTCAGATCCTATGAAATATTGTACAAGAGATGACAGAAGAGGATATTGGAATCAACTGGGTTAATTGATTTTATGAGTGGCATAATGACAAGATCAAATGTATTTATCTTAAAGCAATTAATCAAAACAGACAGATAGCAGATAACTATCAGTGCTTTAAGCACTTCTATATGCTTGTAATTTGATGATTTATTTGATTAATTATGATTGTGGTTGTTGATGCTGGCTAACTATTTAATACTTATGGAGTAGTTGGAGCAGAAAATCAATTAATATAATCTTGAGCTCTCAAACATCTATAACTTTGATGAAAAAGGATTCCTTCTAGACTTCTGCCATGTCTCAAAGTAATTAGTCTCTATTGAAGCTCTACAAGCTGGAAAGAATATTACTACTCAGAATGGTAGTTGGGAATTCCTCTTATTGCTCTGCTCAGTCTCTGCTGAAGAAATTGCACTACCTCCAGCTCTTATTTATCAGAATGAATCACAAGATCTCCAGAATATATGGCTAGATAATTATAATGAAAGTGAATGGGTCTACTTTGCAGCTTCAACAAATAGTTAAAGCAATAATAAATATGGACTGAAGTAGTTAAAATAAGTTTTTAATAAGCATACTAAGGAACAAGCTGGTTAAGAAAGATGTCTGCTTCTACTAGATGGGCATTCCTCTCATATAAATATGAAATTTATTGAATATGCTGACTGTAAAAAGATTTTTCTTATGATTCTTCTGCTGCATTCAACTTACTGTTTGCAATCTCTTGATATTAGAATCTTTAAACTGCTGGGCAAGGCATATTTGAATGAGCTGGAAGCACTACTATATTATGGAATGAGCTATATTTGAATGACAAAAAGAGATTTCTGAAGATTATTTAATGTGGCTTGGAAGAAGGCTTTAATAGTTGAAAATATACTTGCTGGCTTTGCAAAGACTGGAATTAATTCTCTGGATTTTCAATATTAACTATACTGATTTGAAACTGCTCAAGTTCCTATACTGCCAGTTAAATCTTTTATTTCTAGTAATATGCACCAGCTTTGACAAGAGATCAAGAGTATATGTCTCCAGTACAGCCTAAATTTGCAGAGTATTGGATGAGTTATTCAAGCCAGTAAGCAGTTTGCTCTTTATAATGAACTACTAAAACATGAGAATCAGTATCTAAGATTAATTCTAGTGATAGAGAAGCAATACTGCAAGTAAGACAAGCTTCTAGATCTACTTAATAGAGATAATTCTAGTCAAGTACAGTTCTGGTCTTCAATAAAAGTTCTTAAGGCATGTGAGTATCTGGATGAAATAGAGGCTGAAAAAGCTGATAAAATTACTTAAATATAACAGATAAAGCTTCAATGGGAGCTTTAAAAGAAGCAGGCTGCTAGAGATACTGAAGAAAGATGAATTGAATAAAAGAATGTCTGTAAAAAGACTCATAAGTAATAAGAGACTGAAAAAATCAAATGTGCTAAAGAAAGAGAGACATAACATGTTGCTTGTGAGAAGAAGAAGACTTTATAACTAGCAGAGAAGGAAAAACAGGCAGTTGAATATACTACTAAATACTGACAGTCAGAGCTTCAAGCACCAGCTTCAAAGTGCTGTTGGAAGGACTCCCCTACTAAAGATCCTTATTGCAGAGAGTCTATACAACCTTCTAAAAGAGGAAGTAAGAGCTCTACAAGCCTCCCTAGCAAGATATTAGACTCCCTAGCTAAGAAATCTACTGTTGACATTCCTTTGAATTCTTTCCTATCTACCCTCTGGATCTCTTGCTCTGGCTGCAATATTAGGCTGTCCACCCATTTATTTTCCTAACTACACTAATTTCTATGCTTCAAAGAACACATTCATTTAATATTTAATAGCTATTTAATAATAAAGATCTGGTTGTTGAGATATTTAATAAATTTGTTGTGTGGAGCATTTGGCGAAATTTGGCTTGTTTAGTGGTGTGGCTTGTTTAGTGGTGTGGCTTGTTTAGTGGTGAACTACCTTATGTGTTTAATGTGGAAATTCGATCGTCATACTATTCCTAATAAGGACCGATCGAGGTCATTCTTCATTATAACCCCCCAATAAGACCCTGTCCAACCAAATAGAACCTTAAATTTCCTTTAACCCCTACTCCATACTTCTTAGATATAACCTCTCATAAGGATTCCTTTAATACCTTGTAGTAAATCTTCTCCTAATGGGGTGTAACCGAGCAGAGCCTTAGGAAACCATCAAATATCGACAGGCTACCTTGTCACACATCGACGGCCAAGTGTTTTTTATGCCTTTTAACAACTTCCTTCTCAAGCTGCTTGAGGGCAGACGCGTATCGTTCTCGTAAGTCACTATCAGTGGAAGGTTTGATGGTCATCCTTTTGACAGACCGACAACCTCTGTCCAACGCACCCTTGACGATTTCATTTGAAAACCATCGCCCTTCGTTATGAGCGACGAGCGTCCATGCCACTCCTCTCCGTCCAGCGCGAGCTGTCCGACCCACGCGGTGGATATAGCTGGTTACACTCGTAGGTACATCATAGCTGATAACATGATCTAACGCGGGGAGATCAAGCCCTCGGGAAGCACGATCGGTAGCGACGACGACCGGGATTTTGCCTTGCCGGTATGCGGCCAAGGTCTTTCGGGCTGTGCTTGACTTGTTGGATTTAACTAGAACCCCAATACAATCAGCGAAAGAGGGACTTAGGAGCGCAAGAAGACGAGCCAATCGCAACGCAGATTCTGATGATTTTGTGAATATCAACGCGGAACGCGATGAAGCGGGAATGTCCGGCAGGCTGTCGGGAGAGCCAGAATTTGAAACTGTGGAGGGCGCTGGATAAGAATCATCGTCTGATGGCTCTTCGGAGCCTGAAGGCGAAGTAGCAGACGACCTGTCAAGCCTAGGTAGATCAGGTATGGGTCCCTGGGCCTCAATATTTAAATGAGAAGCCATCAGCTCAAGCAAGTAGAGCGGCTTGTCAGATCCGTCTCCGGCCGGCACAAACATCTCATTTAACGTCGGAGGGAGTTGATAGCCTTCAAACCGGGTGTTAGGAGGCCTTGTTAGCAATGACGGCAACATTCCTTTGCTGTTGTCGAGGGCGCGGACCTCCACAAGTTTGGGATTTATCAACCGCAGTGAGTTCAGCTTCGTGATGTCTCTTGTCATCGTGGCGCTTAATATTATCTTCCGAATGGTCTGCTCTTTAGGTAAGCTGCATAAATCTTTAGGGACCGGATGGGCATCATCGTTGCCTTTTGATTCTACCGCCTGAAGCACAGTCTGAGACCATTCCTGAAAGCTCTCATTTAGTAGCTTATCAGCCTCATCTATGACTAGCCATTTTAGATGCTTCAAGGTAAATCCCTTGGTGGATCGGATGTGATCTACAAGGCGCCCAGGGGTCGACACCAGGATATCGATATTTGGCGAAGTCTTTGCAAAGTGATTAGGCAGAGCGCCACGGCACTCCTTGGCTTCAGCTACATATTCTTGAAGATCAAAATTCGTCCAGTCGCTGCCAGTCATGACAGAACTAAATTTCCCCTTCCAAGCTTGAAAGTTATAAACCTGCTCTTGGCCCATCAGCGCTGACTGTTCATCCTTTAAAGCCGTAGACCCCACAGCAGTTCCGATCCGCAAGCCTGTGCCTGCAGCGCAAAGTTCACAGGTGTTTCGGGCTTGCTTCACAAGTTCACGCGTTGGCACGATGATTA